GCGCGATAATTTTCTGCTTGCGTTGCCGCAGTATACGATATTTCAATGGCCGTCATCTTGCGACGCTCGCTTGCGTTCGCTTCGTTATATGTGTAAAGCAATTCGAACGTGCGTCGTAAGACGGCTATTGAAATATCGTATACTGCGGCAACGCAAGCAGAAAATTATCGCGCGATATTTATGCGATAACTGCCTTATGCGATGCCGTATTTATGCGTTTTGGACACATTGATGTTTTTCAAACAGTTGATTTGTTTTTACAGCATCTATTATAATTGCAATTTTATTCTAAAAATTAAAGTTAGGCAAAAATAATCGCGAACATTCATTCATTTCACGTCACTCATTTGCGTTTGTTCTAGGCCATGACGAGTTCATTTTGTTTGTTATTCCACTTATCTTTTTGCCATTTTTCAATTTATTTTTTTAGTTTCTACAAATGCATTGATTTTTGCCCATTTTAATTTTGTTACAATTTATAAGACTGTTCATGAAATTCATCTTATAAAATTCGTGTTATACTTTTCCCTGTATCATATTACCCAATTACCTGATGACTAGGCCAGTCCTAATCAAAATGGCGGAAGCAGCAGTAATGCCTCAAACCAACTAAATGTAGGTGTCATCAGTGTATCAAGCAATAAAGAGAAAGGCTCGAATTTGACTGGAGAAAATTTGTCAAATTCCTCGAACTCACAAAACTTAGTCGGTTCAGGTTCGGCGGCATGTAACAACTCAAACACGTTCAATAGCGACAAAGACAGCCTAAAAATGAAGTTGAATGCCTGTAATGCTGACACACTTGGAGGTAGTGGCCAAAATCAAACAAAAGATTGTGTTGGGTGTGGTGTACCATGCAATCAGACGAACACATCACCTCTTGGTGCATTGTGTAGAAGTTGCTTTCATCATTGGAGGTACAAAGCTGTTGGTTTCTTTTTTGTCAAATTTTGATCTAACCATCTCATTTTATTCACAAATTCACCACTCACGCCGTCTCGAAAACGAAATTATTTGTCAATGTTGTGTAAATTGGCTATAAAATACACTATTTGTAATAAACGAATTGCTCCAAATCATATATTCTTCTGTGTACATTCATACTTCATGAAGATTTGGTAGCGTCGTCATTGTGCTTTGTGAATAAGAATGAGATTTATTCGATAGATGATATTCGAAAGTGCTAATTTTTATGTATTATTCTTTACTTCATTACATCCTGGGTTTGTTTGTCGATGAAACGCACATCATTCAGTCGAACCGGTTCATTGCGACCAACGTCTGGTCCTACTTTGAGTAAGCGTTCACGAAATAACACCAATAACGGTGTTGAACGACACAAATCGAAATTACCGCGTGGCATGTACATCAATCATGACGATATTGTCAAATTGGCATCACAAGACAATAGTCGTGGCGACGATCTCTTAACTAACATGGATCGCGAAATAAGCACACTTTTGAGTCAAGTAAGATCTATCTTTTTTATCTTTGGAAAGAAAAAAAATCGTCTTAAAAATAGAAACGGTTTGATTTGCTTATTGGTGGCTGGTGTTGATGCAGTTTCGTTTTGACTTTATTTTTACAAATGGTAAAATATATGTGTGGTACAATTGTCATGTTTGGTGAAATTCTCATCATATTTTGGAATGCATTGGTGCGAAAAATGATAATGATTTTGGAAGTAAGAAAGAGTGATGACCTATATATGGTTGCTGTTTTGATTGATAATTTGTTGCTGTAAAATATGTCAACGATTGAAAGTAAAAAGTAACAGAAAAAATCATATCACATAATCATCATTTTTTATGCGCTTTCGTAAAAGTCAAAACGTACTTCGATTGAGTAAAAAAGAAAGCGCTGCTCACAAGAAAGTTGAAATCAGATCGTTTCTTTCTTTCGGACCATATACGAAATTCAATTCGAATGTTTAACCATCATGATTTCATATTATTACGCAGATTCAAAATAATAAACAAGTCGCAAGCAGTTTGAAATCCAAAAATTCAAATAGAGCAACCGCAGCCGCTCTTAGCCCGAGCGCTATAACCGCTAATAGAATTAGTGCCAGATGGAGCAACGATGAATATCAGTTGGCAATTCAAGGCATGCGTAAATATGGAAAAGACTTTCAATCAATAGCTGAAATTATTGGAACTAAAAATGAGTCACAAGTCAATCAGTTTTACACCAATTATCGCAAGAAATTCAATTTGGATGATATTTTAAAAGAATTTGAAGCCAAACAAGAACAACAGAAACTACAAAAAAAGAAAATTATTGAATCAATCCAAAAAATTTCGGGCACATACTCAACAAACATCGGTAAAAACAGCGATGTTAAAACCAACCTAAAAAATCTAGTATCTGACGGTGAAATTATGGAAGTAAGTAAAATTCGTTTTGACGTGTGAATGTCTCATTGATATGTATGTGGATTTATTTATTTAGGGTAAATTTTCAATGATAAGACTTCATTTTTTTCAGTAGAAAAAAAACGTTTACAATATTGAGTTGATTATTTTCTTTTGCATTTAGATTGATTTAGTCGATGACATTCCAAACAAAGACGATGAAGACATGGATGATGTTACCATAATTGAAACGGTAAAATTTTTATAAAACAAATGTGTCTTTGAGAATAAAAATGGAATTAGCCGAAACCGCGTATTTTTATGTGAATAATTTTAATGTTTCTGGTACGAGATATGAGGCAAGTGTATCAAGCAAAGATGAGAATCTTGAAATTTTCTAAAACATTGCAGAAGAAATCGGTATTCTATCTCTTACAAGGGGGGAATCACTCAGCTATTACTTTGCTATTGGCCATTATTGTTTGCAATTAGTTTGCTATTTGCTATTACTTTTCTCCATGCAAATCTGAAAAGTAATAGCAAACTAATAGCAAAAATAAAGTAATAGCAAAGTAATTGTTGATTTTTGGACATAATAGCAAGTTAATAGCAAAGTAATAGTTACACAAAAAATAATTGCTATTACTTTTGAATTTCAACTATTACTTTGCTTTTACTGCAATTACTTTCTAGTGATTTCCCCCTTGATCTCTTACCAGGAACACAAAAATTATTCACATGAGCGGTTTCGTCTAATCCCACTTTTATTCTCAAAGACACAAATATTGTGCTTAAACCTATAAACTCACTAACGAAACGTCTTCATTCTCCAGGATTCATTGCCATCAACAACACAGAAATCCAGTAATATCGAACATGTATTGTCAGTCGAACCAATGGACTCGATATCGATCACGGCGATTTCCAGTAGCAGTAGTAGCACTAATGGGAATTCACACCAATCAGAGCCTGTCCCAGAAGTAACCATCAGCCCAGCACCCGGTTCCAATTCAACCATTACATCAACAACATCGTTGATGGCAATTGTTGAACAAGCCAAAGCAGCCGCCGTTTGAAGAGACAATGATAAGATACCTTATTAATCAAGAAATAATACAGACGAAAATAACCAAAATTCTACACAAATTCGATAAAATCCATACAAAATATATGAGTGAAATGGTAAAAAAGTAATAAATTGGAAAATATTTCGAAATTCACTATTCATCTCTTCGTTGAATATTTTTAAGCAGCGAGAAATTGAAAACATATAAATTTTTATTGTCATTACACCATAAAAAAGAGGAAAACACTAAGACACCGCGTGTTATTCGGAAAGTCCAGAGAAAAAATTAAATGGAAATTATTTCGGAACGTGTTGCGTTTAAATTGATTGTTTTCATAACACACACACACACACATATTTAGACATTTCGCTCATTACGTCCTTTATTCTCATTTATTTCGTATTTTACAATTTAATTTAATTTTACAATATCAACATTTTTGCACGTAAAAATATAAAAGAAAAACACAAAATAATTTGAGGTAAATATCTAGGAATTATTTTGAAGAACAATAGAAAAATCAGAAATACTGAATTCATAAAAGTTAATGTCATATGGTTTACTTTTCAACTACGCGATTTTCCGAAATCGGTTCGAACTAAATTATTTAACATGAACCATGAACATTCAATAAAGTACTACTCTACAATTAAATATTCATTTAAGAAAATTGTGTTTCTATTTGGTCGCGACGCATTTGATTAAATTCAGTTAATCCTAGGTATGGAATATACATATACAACTGGTTGGAATTCAAAAATATTCGCGCCGTCGTATACTTATGCTTTCAGCGGCAACATTAACATTTTTTTCATACTCATCTTACAATTATCAACCTAAATACATTCGATTCCAGGCACATATCCAAGGTTGAATGCGGGGATAGATTTAACTGTAGAAGTAACCGTCATAGTGATCCAATTGTGCATGGAATGAATGGAGAAAAAATTGCATAAAATTAACATCAATACATTCAATACTCTTTTTTCAAATGAAAAACAAATCATTTACTTACATGAGTACTTCTGGCCTCCTTAGTTAAGTATTTACGCCTACAAACAATCAGTCATAGCGGAAATAACATTACTATAGATTTACAGGCATTAACATACTAATGTTATTAATTATTAACATATTATTAACGGAGCGTTAATAACTCAAACATAACATATTATTAGATTAATAAGATTCTACGATATTATTAACATATTATCTTATTATTAATAAGATCGCCATTTTATTAAAAAGTTAATAAGATCCATCTTATTATTAATAAGATAATCTTATTAAAATATTAATAAGAAAATCGGATTTTATTAACCAATTTTCAAAAAAAATTGCGAAGAAAAGTTTCATACTAAAAACATATCAAATATCGTCAGATGCATTTTTCTTCAATATTTCGTCGTTTGACGATATTTGATACGTTTTTAGTATGAAACTTTTCTTCTCAATTTTTTTTGAAAATTGGTTAATAAAATCCGATTTTCTTATTAACATTTTAATAAGATTATCTTATTAATAATAAAATGGATCTTATTAACTTTTTAATAAAATGGCGATCTTATTAATCTAATAATATGTTATGTTTGAGTTATTAGAAATTTTCCGATATTTTGGTTATTAATATATTAATAACATATCGAAAATGTAAATCTATAAACATTACTGTTATATTTTAATTTTTAAACTATTCAATGTGAATGGCGTGAACGACGATGCATGATGCTGGTTAGTTGTTGACAGCAGCTCGCTGGTTGGGTGGCCTCTGCAATGTTTCGGGTAACGTATACATATAACGAAAATCATACAAGAAAACAATGAATGATGTGTAAATAAAGCACTGCACCTCACATGCAATTCAATCAATATATTATGAGCACTTACCTTTGATCAGGATACATTTTGCAGCGGCTATGTCACGATGCCATGTCGTCTTATGTACTCATGGCTCAACAAATTCCATCTCACCGGCTCGATTGACGTTAACGTATTCCAAAATTCCACTATCCTCATTTACTTGCCATGTTTTATAGTAGATCGCTACATTTGGGAGTAAATCTGGATTTAGTTGATCTGGATGTGGGACATCATTGCCAACCGCTGGATTTCCGTAGCTCTCTTCCGCTTCTTTCACGCACAAAAACAGTTTCAGCTTCTCTTCCCTCATCCAGAGCGGTCAACGAGCGCTCGTTCGTTCGTTCGTATGCGAACATGTTCGTTTGTTCGTTCGTTCGTTCGTAGAATTTACGAACA